TGATATATACTATATTCAGTAACTCATCATCTATACGCATTTTCTTTCTTTTAATACATTAATAATGAAATACTATGTTTTTGAAATAAAACCTAGGTAGTAGAAAGGCCCTTTTTTGTGTGTGTGTGACAAGGATGACCATCTCTTGTGCTGGAGACATTTGAAAATCCTCCAATTCTGTAATGTTTTTGATACCCACAGTGTTACATACCTAACATGAGCGACATCTTTAACTTAAGGGTCGTTCTAGAGAGGAACCATGCTGCCAACATGCTCAGTGGTCCTTTAGTGAAGTATTTGAGATAACTGTGGTAGGCTTGGATGATGTGAGTTTGAGTCCCAGCTTCATGGAAGCAGCAGCCAGCACTTACTTCTGCCTTCCCCTCAGTCTCTGGAGACATTTGAAAATCCTCCAATTCTGTAATGTTTTTGGTACCCACAGTGTTACATACCTAATGTGAGCGACATCTTTAACTTAAGGGTCGTTCTAGAGAGGAACCATGGTGCCACATGCTCAGTGGTCCTTCAGTGAAGTGTTTGAGATAACTGTGGTAGGCTTGGATGATGTGAGTTTGAGTCCCAGCTTCATGGAAGCAGCAGCCAGCACTTACTTCTGCCTTCCCCTCAGTCTCATCAGTATGTCCTTCCTCCTCTGAAAAAGGGGCTAAGCAGGCAGCAGCAGCACTAACTGTGGCTGTGGCAGAAGATTTGTTTGGCTGTTGTCTTCAGTCTTCTCGGCTGGGAGGAAGTAGGCAGCTAGCTGGAAGCATCACTTAAGTCTGGGCTCAGCTTGTGGCCCTTGGTGGAGCGTCTTCTCTGGCTTTGAAGGAAATCAGAAGCCACGGAGATGTATGGCAGCAAGTTTAACAACTGCTGGCATTGGAAACAAAAGGAACTCCCCAAAATAGCAGTATTTTGTTTTGGTGGGTCTGTTTGGAAAACAACATCAAACCCGTTTGCTCAATTTGCATGTCTGAAAGGCTTCTGTTCAGTTAATTGGTTAAATTAATTTCTGCTGTTGTAAACAGAGAGCTGTATTAAGAGCAGAACTAAAGTAATTTTACTTTACATTATTCTGTGTCATGGCACATCGTTTCTTTCTTACTCAAGGCAATTCATTTTGTGGTGCTGTCAAATAATATTTTGTGTCATCTTCAGTCGATGTAGCTTTTATGATTTTCGCTGATATTTTAACAGTTTATTTAGTCCTCTAGATAATGGTCAATGGCCTTGAGTAGTCAAATTAACACCTCGGCAGCACTATATCTGAGCAGACTGCTAACGGTAACCTCAGGATGAAAAGCAATGAGAATCAATATAGTGAGCGTATTTTTAGGGATTATTGATTGATTGATGCATTCTGGACTTAACTTGAAGAGGCAGCATTGCCCCACAGCTGACTAAGATTAAGTTGCCAGTTACTGATAACTGCAGGCCATTACCTGCGTAGTATTTCACGAGCTCGGAGATTTGATGGAGACCTTTTATAGTCCTTAGCTGAAGAAACTGTAGCGTTCGCGGGGTCTGTAGTGCCTACCCAGCTGCAGGAACCTGCTCCACTCCTCTCCATCTCATACCAGCCGTTTCGGTGAGAATTAGAGAAGACGTTGATGTGATTCAGCGCTGCCCGTTATTTCTGTAGGGATCTATTTGGGACAACAGAGGCACTAATGGCTTATCTTCCCCCTCTGCCTCCAATGGCAGCTCCGCAGAAGGTGGGAGCCATGTTAAGCTGTGCTGCTGTCAGCAAGCTGAGAGCTGTGGGTCTCCCCGCCACAACTCTCAATTGCTAGCAGGTTTCTCTCATTGCACCTCATTTGCATCTGGGACATCAATTAGCATGTTTGTTGAGGCTAATTGAATGAAACTCAATCATAGCTCTTAATTGCTTGACTATGTGAAAAGAAATCACATTAATGCAGCTAATTAAGTGTATGGCAATAGATGCAACATAATTAGGAGCGAAATGTAAAAAACAAGCGACGGCGAAGGTGCAAGCGCAGGGGTGCGGGGGACTGGGGCGCTGGCTTCTCCTGTTATCCGCATGTTTGGGGAGGGTTCCCTTTCCTTTGCCACTTGCTTTTCTTTTTTTTTTTCCCCTGCATCGCTGAATGATGAACATGGACAAGTTGAGAAGAAAAATGCAAATGGATTTGCAATTACTACTTTTTCAAGCTGTTGAGGGGCAGAAGATGGCACTTCTGGGGTGGCCCGCTGTTGAGTGGGCTCTAGGGACTTGTTAAGTGCTGTTTAAAAGTACTTGGCTTTGAATTACCCTCATGCCTTGTTAAAGGGTTTTTTCCCCTTTTTTCTCGGATCAGCATTTTCTACAACTAACATCTAGGGGAGTTATATCTGTAACATTTGCATATCAAAATCAGGCTTGCTGTCTTCTCTTTAACACAGCATATTCCAGATGACAGGAAGACCCTCATCTGTTCTAATCTGATCAAACCCTCCATTGCGCTTCTGAAGCCATGACATTATTTTGTAGTTTTAACTTTTATTCCCCAAGTGCAGATCTGAAGGAGCGCGCGTGGGGGCGGATGCTCTGCCGACTGGAAACTTGGTGCTTGCCTCTCCTCCTCGGGGAAATGCAGAGATTATCGCTATGCATCTTGCACACAATGAAAGAGGCTTTATTATTTACATTTGATATATCCCTATAAATATTTAAGCTGACTTTAATACCTATGTGGCATCTGTTGTGTTTGGGCACGTTCATACGTTCATATAATAATGGTATGGCTACAGCACATTGATTTCCAGTTTGCCAACATTCACTTACTCTCTCAAATGGTTTATAGTTCACCTAAGCCTGGTTTACTCTCAATTAAAAGGGCTTTTAATAATGCCCTGTCACATCTCACAAGTTGGTAGCAGGGAGGTCGTACATGCTGTTCATCTGCAGAATTTCAGATAAATGCCTCCTTCCCACATCTAAATGGAGTACGCTGGTTGTACGTTAACTAAAACGTGTCTGTTGAAAGAGTGCATGCTGAGGTTTAGTCACTATCTGATTAAGCCTCATTTTAGAGCCCGTAAGTAATAAATGCTCAATTATGTTCTGCTTATTGTATTTTAATTTGTGAAGAACCGACACTGAACAAGAAAGTTACGCCAACTTGTTAATTTATGGATGAAACCGTTTTTTCGTTTCTATCTAACACCTCGTGAATGGATTTTTATTAATGGATTGCCTTTGTCTCTTTCGGCAGCAGAGCTCTGTGTCCTCACCCACAAAATTGTTCATCCCCCCCTTCCCTTTTACTGCTAACAATTCTCAAACAGCTGGGGGGAAAAAAAAGCTGGTGTGATGGTTTAGTTTTGAGGTTTTATCACAGATTAATATTAGCTGTGAGGAAATAAATGCTGGTCCAATAGTAGATTTTTTTTTCAAGTCTTTTGAGCAGAATATATAATTTGTGTGGTAAAAACTGTCAAAGCTGGAAGGGTTTTTATGAAGAAGTTGATTGCTCCTCGTACTGTGTCAGCAGTACCTCAGGTGTGCTTTTAGACCATTCGGGTGTTTACATGTAACATTGGTGCTTCGGTGATGTACAGGTCTGTGTGCTGCAGGTTTGGAACCAACCTAGTTAATATTGGTAGTCTTTAGTGTAAAAACACTTTGTAACCTGGCTAAAGCTTGCCCTGGGTGCTTGGACACGTGGGAGTTACGTCTGCTCGTGCAGGCACCCACAGCATCACCCGGGCCTCTGTAAGCTGATCAAATTCTGTCTAAAAGAGAATTATATTTTTTGCCCAGCTGTTCTGCATAGACGATTGCTCAAGAATACCAATCCCTTGGTTTCAAGCTTAACTGAAGAGCTTATGCCCAGATCTTTTTTCCAGTCTGTAGTTCAAATTGCCATTTGCCCAGATCTACTTTTGTGCAATGGTCTTACCCCTTTTTGCCCTTCATTTTGCTATCCTGTGCTACCCATCTTGCATGTGTTCTCCTAAGATACAATCTCTTCCCTCCTTTCAGTGCCCTCATAGTTTTCCCAGTTCCAGTTATTTTTTCTGGAATGCAAGTAACCACGACCACGTCTACCAGGAGATGAAAACTCTGGTGTCTTCAGTACCAGCTTTAATATTCACCATCTCTCCTGTAAATATCTCTTCAGATATATCCCAGGATTGCAGCCTCAGTGGCTGTCTCACCTTAATGAATTGTCATTTACTCTCACTTGATGTCCATTTGCTTTTTGGTGTTCATCTGAAGTCAGCCACAGATAATTTAGGGAATGCCTTTGAAGCTGGAAAGCAGCATCTCAAAAGCCTGCTTTTCCAGAAGCTTTTTACTGTTTGAAGAACTTTCTCATGGATTTCTCAGGAAGCGAAGGCTTGGTTCTAGTTAGTTGACCTCTGTCTTTCCACAGCTGATTGGGTTTGTCTGCTTATTTCCTCTTTGTGGGCTTTCCAAACAAGAATTAGGAAAAGCCTTTTCCTCTTCTGGCTCCCAGCTTTTAGTGTGTTTAATCAGACACAATGTGCATAATTTTTCCCTTCTATGATTAGTTTTGTGTGCAGAGGAAGGATCATATTCGAAGGAAACAATGTTGTAATCGCAGAAACCTTACCAGTCAGCAGGTGCCCCTTTCATTGCTTTTGTGTTCACTGACCAATTTTGGCCAAATCTGGGGGAGAAAGAGGTGCATAAAATGTTGGCAGAGAGGACACAAGTGAGCATGCTTGTGAGGAGCAGTCAGCCTTGTCTTCTCTTTGGGACCTGCTACGTGTGGCTTAGAACTCGCCATGTTGTGAGTTTCCTCTTACCAGCTCGTAGTTGGAGGACGTAGTGGAGAGCTAAAGGATTTGGGGTGTATTTGTAGTAAAAAGCACGGGAAGGATTATCAAGAAAATGGAAGGAGGGAGAAAACAACTGTGTTGGCAGATGATACAGGACTAAACTGTTATGATACCGTGTTTTATTAGTTCTATGCTTATAGAACTACCATTTTGATATTGGATTTTGGAATTTCTTTTCCTCTTGCCAGGACTATATGCAGAATGTTCACGGGAAAGAGATTGACTTGCTGAGAACCACTGTGAAAGTCCCCGGGAAGAGGCCACCCCGAGCTACATCGGCTTGTGCACCCATTTCCAGTCCCAAAACAAACGGCCTCTCCAAGGACATGAGCAGTTTACACATCTCACCGAATTCAGGTAAGAGGATACCATGCCAAGGGAAAAAAAGGGAAAGACTGCATTTTCAGTGCCTATAGGCAGTTGTCATGTACTGCTGGGGTGGGGATGATATCTATTAATAATTTGCAAATCCAAATCACCGCTGTGTGTAACCTTTTTAAGCCCTGACCGCTGATCTGTCCTCCGTGAGAGATTCTGAGCCTCTGAATAACCTTCAGCATCCATCTTTTTATACTTTTTGCCTTGTACACGCCAAACCCCTACATAATTCCACAGAAATTAACTTTTGTGAAGAATTGATGCTGCCTTACGACTGATCTGTTAGGTCTAATCCTTTGGACAAACAGGAGGTGTATCATTTGAAAGGGCTTCCTGGTGGGAACCGCAGCACTTCTTTCCACCTTTAGAAGGATGCGGAATTTTGGACTTTTCAGCAGCGTGATTCTTCTGTAGAAAGCTATTTTAGTTCATTTATGGAAGTAGTTTATAGCTCCTTGTGAGCTCTAAACAAAGAGTTTTATTGTTTGCTGAAGTACTTGTCCACGCAGCTAAGTGGATTTTAAAAATTGCATTAAGGAAGAACATTTAAGACAGTTTATCTTGTAAAATGCACAGCTTGTACGAAACTCATCATGGTATAGTGTTGGCACAGAAGTTTTGTCAGCATGTTTGGGATGACGTCCATAAAGTGCCAAGTGCCTCTTGCATTTATGATTAACGTAAATGCCTCCGGCGTGTGACGATAAAACCACCCAAACTCATTTTCGTCTCTGTGCTACACAGGTAGGGTCAGCAACCACAGGAAGGAGCTCGGTCACTCTGCTATTCAAGGGTCTTCTCTTGGATAGTGATAGTTACCTTATGCTTCAAGTCAAGATGTAATTCCCCGTGTCTTTGTGGTCTGCATTACCCTATATTAGTGGAAGAGGGAGGAGGATTTTCCTTCCAACTGTGGTTGCTGCTCATTGAGATGAATGTTTAAAAGGGAAATGGAAAAATAAAGCCTTGTGACTTTACAGTGGTGCCACTGAGCAGACAAACCTGGAGATCTTGTGTGGCACGCTGTATTCGTTTGGCTTGGGACCTGCACTGTCTGAAGCCATGATTTCTTCAGACTCTTTTTCAAGTTGTAACCTACCCCTTGAGAGGCACAGAGCTGACATTGTCACTGGAAGAGTTCACAGGAGAAAATTATTCGTGGTTGGTTTTTGTTTTTTTCCATTTTGCTCCTTAATTTAGATGACTGGTTGTGGAGGGGTGTTGTGTTGGTTTTTTCTCAATGTATTCCGTAATTTAGGGAATAAAAGTGCTGGACTGACTCAGTAAACCAGCAGTAAGACGTTTAAATAAGATATTTCTGCTTTTAAGACATTTGAACACATGCGAAAATTACTTGATAGCTCCAGAGAAGTTTCTGGAGTCGTATTCAGAGGTGCATACTAATTTGAAGTTTATAGCATGGTATTTACATGTTTTGACGTATGCTTAGATGCCCAGGTCAGAGGGAAACATGACTTTAATAAAATACGCAATAGTCATTTTGTTTCAGGACTCTGCACGTGCTTTCTTTCCATGAAACTGTACAGTGCACAGCTCTGCCTGGCGGTGGTGGCGGACACTGGCTAGCCTGAGGTTTTATCACACAGCAGTTGCTTTAAAGGAGAAAAGTTAATTATGCTAGAAAGTGCAAATGCTAGAAAACAGCTCTGCTTTTATACAGCTTTTTTCAAATAACATGGTGGGAATAGTTGGACCTTCTGTCCCCCTCTCTTGGCTCCTTTGTCATCTTGTGTAGAAATACTGAAAGACTTTTCTGTTGTGGATGTCTGGTTACCACAGCTCAGGAGATCTGCTGTGGTTAAATCTTAAAATAATTAATGCCTTCCTAATGTATCAAAAAGTTGTATCCAAGGGAAGTTGAATCCGATTTCTGTATCATTACCCACTTGAATGCCTTCATTTCCCCTCTCATGCAGCTGGAGTGCTACACTGATCCTTCTTTAATTTTAAGCAAGTTCTTGACCTGCTTATCTTTGCATGGCGCTTTTTCCGTAGATAAAGCAAGCATTGACATCTTAATTATGTTGCCCCTATGGCTGGCTGGAAGCCTAACAGTTCTGAAGCATCTTTATAGCTTGCTGGGGGAGCAGGTGAAGACAGACTGGGCTGAAGATCTTTATGCTCTACACGGCAAATGTCCGTACCTCGCTTCTGCTGTCTCATGCCTGCTTTGGATGTTGGAGGATATAGAAGGGGAATGACTATGGGTTTGGTGTGATAGGAGGGTCAGTCACGATGCAAACATCTCTGTAAGGCTGTGTTTTGTTAGTTCAGCTATGTATACACTGAATATGTTCATACCCACTGTAGTAATTTGCCTTGCAGCCGTTGTTTCTGAAATTCAGGCTGGTACATTCAGTGTGTTATCAGCCATGGTATCTCTTCTTTGGGGATTTTCTTCACAGAATTTGATGGTTCTGAAGAAGCTGCCTTCATTGAATGCTTCTTACCCTAAAGGCCACATTCAAGATCTGTCTGGTTATTTCATTACAGGTTACAATGACCAGCAGCAGCAAGACAGAGGAGCTTTTTTAGAAAGCCGTTTGATCCAAGCAGAGGTCACTCAGTTAAAAGCAAACAAAAAACCAAACAGCTAATCAATAAAGTATTACTTTTTTAAAAAAAAGGGACATAAAAATGAAAAAAAATATTAGTAGGACAGACTGGATCTGGGAAATAATTGTCAGCAGTTCAGATCTGCATCAGTCCTTATGTCACTCCATACTCTTGTGTTCAGGTAAGACTGAAGAGCTGCATTGCAGAGAGTGATTTTAAAATATTAGGGGAGTATTAGTATTGTAAACAAGACACTGTCACAAGCTGTGTGTGACTTGTTAGCCTGAACTTTCATGTGCCAAGTATATTGACAGAGATTTTTATGCAGAGGGCACCAGCTTCCGTTGAGTGGGAGACCCAAAGGTACTCGACACTCAGCTTCTGGAGTGCTGAGAGGACTTCTGCTATCTCTGCAGTTGTCTGTCACGCAGCTAAAAACATTTGCAAATTATCCCTTGCAGTCTGTGGTGCTGTCTCAGAGCTTTTTCTCAGTTGTTAGTGCTGGCAAAATGTTGTCTTCATCTTAAGTGATGCTTTAAAATTGATCACAGGGCTGAAATTGTCTGTTACTGTTTTTTCATTGGGAGGTTTCTGTACACAGACCTGCTGTATGGAGGAGGCTTGGACCAAGCACGGGAAGAGTCAGCACTTGCTATTTGTATTTTTAAGCATGCAAATATGCTACATTCTTACCGTTTTACATGTTACCTCTTGCCCAAAATAGTGATGTTCTCTGCTCTGTGCTTTTTGCCAGCGCAGACTTGCTCCCTAGAGTAATATTCTTCATTCTTGGAAGTGAGGACAGTATTTCATTAAATTTTTTGATGTGGTCAGGAACAGACTAATTTTCCTTCTGTTGGTATGTAATTGTGTACAGTTTAGTGAAAAAGCTAAGATATTAAAAGAATACCAGTGGTCAATTAAAATGTTACGTTTTAAGATTGCCCCCAGAAATCTAGTTCATTGTCTTTGCTTATACATGGTGATAGCACAGATCCACTAAAAGCATTTCTTGGCTGAGGTTACCTATTTTCCACTAGGTTGTGTTCCTAGAAATACTTGAACTTATTTTTATTCACACATCAAAACAAAAAAAGTCAATGCATTTTTTTTGTCAAATAGCGTAGTACATTTGGAGTCATCAATGATCTGCTATTAAACACTGTTCAGAAAATACCCCTTCAATATGGATTTCAGTGCCAACTTTGTTGATAAATATATGTATTTGTTGTCTGATTGTATCTAACTGACATGTTTTAAATTCGTTCCCTCATGAGTGCTCAGTAGATACTTTTCTCTGTCTTTTAGTGGAATTATTTCTATTTTGGATAAATGCCAGTGCATTAGCTGCTCCAATAGAGAGGCAAAGCCCCTTGCCTGTCAACTGCTGGTTTATAAAATAAGTGCTTAGGGGAATGCTGTCTTAGAGATTGGTACCCTTCAGCATAGGTGTCAGGGATGGCACGTGGGCAGGCTTAGGATAGCTTGCGTCCAGGAATGGGAGCAGTCAGCTCACAAGAGACACTTGAGGGATAGGTTTTGTCTCCTAACTCCCACTTGGTTTCTGAAGGAAGGACGTCGGTATCTTGCATCTCTGCGAGGCAGTGCTTGCTGCTCGAAACAGAAGACGTAGCAGTTCATCCATGAGAGCTCAAAAGTACATTCAACGTCTCTTCTAATCCCCACCACAGTCTGTGAGGCAGTAGAGCAGCTTGAGCTCTTCCTTCTTCTCATCACCTTCCCTGTCTAAAGCCTTTTTGGACCTCAGCAATCGCTTGCATCAAACATGTTCAGTGTCTTCCTCCCACATGTTTAAGCGCAGTGAATGTCTTTCCCAAGGTGCTTCCCATAGCATTGCTATGAGGAGAATAGAAGGAATTGGGCTAATCAAGGAGATGATGTCCTGAATTCAAGAGGGGTATACTCAGTTATTTGTACTATGGTTTATAATGACCGAACAGTAAGTGCAAGCTTTATCTTTTAGATCTAATTGACATAGATGTTACATGCAGAAGGAAAAGTTTAAAAGCACATCAAATGTAGTCGTGTTTTGTGGCAGTCCTTGTTTGAACAAGACTGTTTTTCTAGTTTTAAAGACTGTTTGATAAACAGAGATATAATAACCATCACTCAGTGACAGCTGTCCCCATCTGTAAATGTATTTACATCCCAAGCATCTGGAAGCAAGTATCTCTAGGAAACAATCATCTTAACTGCAAAAGCCAAATTCCAGTCCTTCTTGAGAGGTTCAATTTCAAAGACGTAAAAAAAAAAAAATAGAGTCCTGTATGAGAATTTATGAAGAAAAGTACCCAGAATTACTCTTTCCTGCTGGGTTTCCACATGGGCACAAGAGCTGGGAAAAAGGCTTTTCCCCTGGTGTATATAGTCACGGTAGGACA